CAAAGCCCTGATCCAATAAAGCAAGCCATAGCTGCTATTACCTCAATTCTCCTTGTTTGGTAGTATAACTGAAAACTACATAGGTTTCCCTTTAAAGAGCCTTGATCCTTGATCTAAAAAATTGTGGATTGATCTGATTCATCAGTTCAATATCCCATTTCAGTTTCTGTTGAATTGGAGGCGTCAGAGTTAGCTCCGCTTATTACCAGCCATCCTTAGTGGAAAGTAAGACTGCTCAACTTAATTCATCTTCTTAAAATAAATAAAGAACAAAATATTATTTCTTTCTCTCAGTCTTTCATTCCCCTTTTCCTACTTTTATTTGTATTCCTCTTTTCTCAAGAAATACATTTAAAAGTGCCCCCCCAAATTCTTGTGTCCTGCTGTCACTATAGAGACCCAGGCTCACAATTGGGGGCCTCATCGGGAAATTTTTATTCTAAAGACCTCTCATAATCATACTTCTAAACTTAATTCATCAGGCAAAAAGAAAAAAAAATTCTTAATAATTTTTTTTTCATACGTACTCTTTTCCTTTTCTCTTTCTTCAGGAAAGAGCAAAACCACATATACCGGTTTTCCCAAAAACCAATATCTCCATTTTTCATCGCGGAGCACCCTCCAAAATTTAAGATTTTCATCGCGGAGCGCTCGCGAAAATCCTTCCTATACTCATCGTTCAGACCAAGATTACGTTGTTAACCAACGCTCCTCCTTTTCGTCTTATCTTTTGTGCGTTCCTCAATCCTACCTACCTACCCTAGTTTGCGAAGTGAAGAAAACCAGCCAGACTATACCCAAATCGTCCGACCTATCATCGATCTCATCCAGATCAGAATCAGGCTCAGATCTCTCGGAACCAGACCAAACCACCAGGAAAAAAAAATTGGAACCTCTATAGAGGTGGTTTTTGTATATCCCAACTGTATCCCAGTTGTATATATGCTGTATCCTATACAAGCATACATCATATCTACTTCCGTATCTCAGCTGGGTAGTCTTAAGCTCTGGAATCCATCAGATTTTTTTTTGAAGATTTCTGAGGCTAAATAATGATGTGTTCAATTTGGAAGCAAATTTCAAGGTAAGATTTTCAGAAAAACCTGAAAATATTGAGTGATTACAGTAGCCTTTTTTATGAAATTTCACATACTAAATCTTTCCCTTTCCTAATAACCCTAACTCAAAGACTTGAAATTACCAGTCCAGAATCATGACTTGATGAAAACAATTAGATCTCGTACAATTGTGTAAGATTGAAAATCCAGACATTTGTATGCTAATTTATCTGAAAAACAACTACAAGCCATACCTCCAGAAGATTCACAATCAGTGATCTTTCTTCACTCAAACTTTAACTCAAAAGATAGAAATGTCACATCATTTAGAAATATCTGTGATAGATAGTTATGGATTATTTGAAATATTTTTTGGATCCCCTTTTGAAAACAAAAAGGCACCATCATCTGTTCAAAAACAATTCATTCAAACACTCGATTTCTATCGAAATATTAATCATCTGAAACATGAAATTGGTTTTCTTTCTTGGTCAAAAAATCACATCACTTCTCCTAATCAAAACAGCAAAAGCCTGTTTCCAAATGGTGCTTGGACCTTTTCGAGCTGAGTCAAGATTAATTGCTTCATTTGATTGTGAATTGCTGTGCACCAATTTATGTATGAGTCTGAAATTTCAACACAAACTGATACAACATCAATCAAAATCTATGTAGACCCAGTCAGGCTTTGAAATCAACCATAATGTCTGGAATTCTTAATATGGGATAAAAGACTCTAACACTAGTTTTTCAGATTTTAATTAACACATAGAATAATTCAAAGTAGCATAGAAAGAAAGCAAAACTTTCTGAGAGCATCTTCAAAGGGCTAAGAAGCAGAAGGGCAGAAACTTCAACTTTGCTTGGTGAAAAAAGCTGTGTATGTCTTGTGGTTTGTAAATTCATGAGTGATGAGTTTCACTGGTCCTGGAATATCTTCTGACAAAAAAAGATTGAATTTTATAACAGTCAAGGAAGAAAAAAAAGAATCCCTCTCCCACCCCCAACAAATTAGATGGATTGGTCCTAGCAGGAGATGAAGGCCAATATTTCCAATTTATCTTGCCTCAAACCAGATCCTCGATGTCTATTAAATCAGTAAAAAAGGAAAGATTCCCCTCATCCCATCGCTTTTGCACTGACAAGGCAGTTGCGATCAAGCAACGAGAGCAGATGGTTCATTTTGGACCAAACAGATTAAGACCGGCGGGCTTAATTGCTTGAATACCGGCGATTACAAATTCAATGGTTCCGGTACTTCAGAAATAAGACCGGCGGTCTTAATTTTGAAAACATGCCTCCGATCTCCTCCAGACCAACGCATTTGTATTCGGACAAGCAAAGGAGGGAAAGAGATATTCTCCTTATCTGCTGCTTGGAGAAATGAAGATTTATTGCTTCATGCAGTTAATCAGACCAGATCCTCTTGCTAAGCCAAAAAAATACCTAACCCGTATTGATCTGATGTTTGAATATGGAAGATCAGTATTAGTTCCTGTTTCCTCTTCCAGATCTTGCGAATAGAGATTTTGTACAGTTACATTAGTAAGTATAGCAAGAAAATGGAATTTTGACCTCTGTTTCATGACTAAAATTCTCATCCCTGATAAATTTTGAGCTTTTGAAAAAACAAAAACAAAGAAAACCTTAATGAAAAGGTTTTACTCTTAAGAGAGTTTTATCCTAAGCTTTATCTTGTATTGACCAAAGGATAGAGAACACCTATTACAGGAATCAGGGTTTGAATCATATCAAAGTTTTATAATTGATATTGATTTATTTCCCCCTTGTGCATCCCAATTAACCAGTGATAGCTATCAATACCAATCATTCTGAATTAAATTCACATAATCACTGGTTTTTGAAAAACAAAAAAAACCAAGGAGCTAATCATGAGATGGTGTATCAGATCCCAATAAAATAATTACTCGAATGCCTGTGAAATACTGTCAAGCAAACTTGAACTCAGAAATTGTTCAAAAATAATGAATTGGACAAATGATTACTTAAATCACAGTATGAAAATCAAAAGTCCTTGCCCACTTTTTGCAACTGGAAGAGAGTTAAACTCATGAGTTTTTCTGAGATCATAGCACAATTTTTTGTTCAATTCCTAGAAATATTTCTCCTCAAAATGTAAAAATTTCCAAAGAATCAATTAAAGTGGCCAGGGATTTTAGGCAAAAATCCTGAGGCTTTCAAAGTTGGAAAATTTATATTTACAGTCATACTTCGTTACCCAGTGGTGATGAGCAGGAAATGAGAAATATGTATGATAGGAAACCCTTGACATATTTGAATTAAAACATATAATTTCTTTCTGGAATGCTGATGACACACTCCATGCCTCAGCCTACTCCTGAGAATCATCTACATTATTAATTGGAAGAAGAAACATAATGAGCCTCAAAATTCTGGTTTCAGAACAAGGCTTGGAAAAAACCAAGTATGAAGACAAACAATTTTCCAGAGGAAATGGAACAAAATCTAATTTCATTAAATTGGGCTATTGAGTTCAGTACACTTACCTATTGCTGGGGATGGTAGATGAAAATTTTTTTCTTCTTGGTTTTAATTAGAATAAAATTGTTACTGATTTGAGTGGTTTAAATTTTTGAGTATTATCAAATATGCTGGACCAACACAACACAGCTTTGTTGTTTTCAAATTCTAGAAGTAGACAAGATGAGCCTTGAGAAGGGATCAAGCACTCATGTTGTATGGTATTTTTCATTTGCCTGTGAATTATAATTTAGATTGAGAAAAAACCTGGCTTATTGTGATGTTGTTTGGAAGGGAGAAGTAATCCATAATAAAATTAAGATAAAAATTATGACAGAATCATATATCTTCATCAATAAAGCCAATAATATGAGGACTGTTTTTATTTTTGACTAAAATTTACCTTCATGAATTATCATAACTATGTGTGAAAAGTGCAAGTTATTGGTAATACCATTATGTCAAAATTGAACATCATTAAGGGTCTCCCAGATATAACAATTTGAATTCTCTCATCCTCATAAAGATAATTCAAAATCTATAAAATTAAATATACACATACACCTAGGGGTTTAGATAACTGAGATTGGAACAGCAAGCACAAGGGAGAAAAGAATATGAATCTTCATAAAACAGGAGTCAAATAAGAATAAATTTTTCAATAAAAATGAATTGATTTGTGAAGGAGAATACATATTTCTATTCTCATTAGAATTCATACTCAGCAATCTCATAAATAACCTGAATCAAATAATATGTTATTAGGAAAGGGATTCAATCCATTTATTTTTGAGATTATTTTGGTTTTTCATTGTGTAATAAATTTACATGGATGGAGATGTATATTGAGATCTGACCTTTTTATCTATTTAGGGTTTCAAGTATTTTACTTATAATTTGAAAAATTATGAATTAAATATTTGGAATTACTTCAATTGCAGAGGAATCATATGACAAATAAAAATAAATAATGATACAAGGATATATCCTAGCAACAGTGGGGATACAGACTAGATACAGTTTGAATACAGTAAGGTTAAGCAAGAGATAAGTGAAAGCACCTCTATAGGAGTTCCACATTTTTTTTCCTGGTGAACTGTCTCCCCAAAGAACGGAAATCTAGTCTCTTCCCAAGCCTGGACTCCGATCTCCACTTCAGGAAACCCTAGGAAAAAGAAAAACGTACCGCGAGAATCTGAACCTATCCGATACCCGGTGTGGACACCAGACGTCTCAACCTACCTTAACAAACCGAAAAAAACTAAAAAGAAACAAAACAAAAAGAGAAGTAAAGGTCTGTCTCTGACTATAGAAGTTCCACGGCATTCAAGATATCCTTCATTAGCGATAACTGAACTTGATTTTTCCTTTTGGAATTCCTACCTCTATCACATCTCATCTCCTTGAATCTCATCAACACAATGGGTGCGCACCTTAGAAATGGTCGAAACATCTCACTTGAACAACAGCAGCGAGAGCTCCAACGCCGAGAACGTGAGCAACAACCAGAGGACCGAGCAGGAGACGGACCTCCTAGATTACAGCGAGGCGATGACCAGAGATACTCCTTCAGCCCCGCTGCAGCCGAGCGGCTTTGAAGGCTTAGGCTCCAGTCTGCCATCAGTTACCGGCACCGCTACGAGACCACAGGTGGCAGAAACTTTGAGGTCGGAGCAAGGAATTTCACCTGCCTTAATCAACTCGAGGGCAACATCCCTAGCGCTAGAGACCGCGTCCAACCGATTGACTCCGGTACCTCGCCCCGTAGACAGACTAGTTTTCCCGGTCAATTCGACTACCGTGACGGGTCGGTCGATACTAGCTCCGACCCCCCTTCTACCAAATCCGAACCGATTCCCAGCCTTGAGTCCCTCTCCAGCCCCACTCGGCTTAGACGACATCATAGTGGACAACCAGGAGCTCGAGACGGTAATCCACCTCTTCAACGAGCAATGGAACACCTTCGTCCAAGCTCGAGAAAGTCAGAACACGCAATTGATGAGAATGGCCCTGGTCCAAGCGATATCCAGCCAGGAAGAAATCAGATTACTAGCTGGTGGAGCGGAGATGCTCAGAATTTGCGAAAACTGGATAGCGAGGGAAGAGTTAGCGGATCTAGAGAGGTCAGAGGCGGCAACTCGAAGTCAGGCAACCCAACGCCTAGCTATAACGCAAACGGCCCACCAACATACAATCAGCCCATCCCCAGCCCCTCAGCGTTCAATACGCCAGTCCTCCGACGTGACGTACCTGGGTACTGGCCAGGTACAGCAGCAATCAAACCCGCCACCGTCTACTCCACACCCGTCGGAGGTTGCGCGACCAACGCAACATTACCAGCAGCAGCCCCTCAATCACTATCAACAGAGAGGCTACCACAACCTCAACAAGAGAGGTTCGTACAGAACTACGTGCCCCCCCAGCACCAAGAAGTGCAAGTCGCCCAGAATCACGGTTTTCAACAGCCCCCCCCCCCCCGCCCCCCACGTCAAGGAAACTGGAGAGGATCCGGGAGGAACAGGAGACGCCCCCAAGACCAGACGACGAGACTACTCGAAGTAGGGGAATACTTGATGAGAGCCGAGAGGATCGCCGGCAGAGTGTTCAGGGACCATGCCAGAGGGAGGGGAAGAGGAAGCAGGAGACGAGGTCCCCCTCGACAAGAAGAACCCCCAGCGGAACACCACCAGTAAACTCACCCAAAAGTTTTGATCTAGAACACCTATCGGACCCGTCAGCGAAGGGACATTTCTTGAAAAACATCAACAACGACTTAACACAGGATGTACCTCTGCTTATTGAAGAGAGGTTACAAGATTTATTTTCAATTTTTCTCTCTGAATTATCTGGAACTATGGAATCCATTCCTCACTCTCTAATGGAGTCCTGTCTTTCCAACTTTAATAATTCTGTGAAAAACTCATTTTCTGATCTTTTGAGTAATGAAATCATTCCTTCTGTCTTGAATAAAGTTGTTGAATCTCTAAGTGAAAGAAATATCATTAGAACCAGTAACAATTGCTGCCAGTGCCCTTGTGACATAGAAGGATTGAAAGATCACTTGAATAAGAAAATAGAAAATCTACAAGATGTGATGTATGTAAGAGATAATCTACACCATTCTGAGAGAGAAGAAGTTATGAATAGAATGGGAGCATTAGAGAAGAAATTGTCTGAAAAATTTAACTATGTCTCAAATCAAGTAACTGATTTAAATGTTAATGAGAACAACAGATTTGAACAAGTTAAAAGAAGGTTATAGGAGATTTGCACAACACCACACAACAAATAAATAGTAAGTTAAACTCTATTATTGAGCCTGAGTATAAAGAATCTCCGCCTCACCTTCAGTACAGTAACCCATGGTCAAATGCTCAAGCTGAACAAGTAATCAATCAGCCCCCTCTGGAAGGAGAAAAATGGCCTCAAAATCCTGTTCCCCACTCCCAAGCCCCAGTAAGACTGGAAGACCAACCAATAAAAAGGGTAACCAGTGAATTTGATACTAAGCCTCTTGAGAATAATAGCCTCGAATCCTGGCTTATAGATTTTCCCTTCATTGATCATGGTGAAATAAACTCTGAGGTGAGAAACCAATTATGGAAAGGTATCCCTAAGACCAGTGAATGGGAGACCTTTTCTGGTGAATTACCATACAACCATGAGTTGTGGCTGCAGCACATTGACGTCTTCATCCAAGACTACCTCATGACTGATGACATGGTAATCAGTAGGTTGACTGCTCTGCTAACAGATACAGCAAAAAATTGGTACATAGGAATCAGAGACAAACATGGGAGAAAATCCTGGGCATGGTGGAAGAATACTATTAGGAATAAATTTGGCACTCATAATTGGAAATGGAAAATGAGAGTAGAATTTGAGAAAGATCATTTCTCAATAGAAAATAGAAAAGTCCACAAGTGGTTCAACACTCAGAGAGAAAGACTTAGAGCATACCAACCAGAGCTCAGTGATTATCTTGTCTGTGAAAAGATCCTCAAGCAGTGCCCTGGTTCCTTGGAACATGCTGTTAAGAGCAGATATAAGAAAGCAGATGAAGACATGAACTTTGAAGAGATGAATGCAAAGTGAAATACGGCTGTGATTGTGATGAAGAGGGCCCAACCATTTGAAACTTTACACAAAAATGAAGAGATTGGTAACTCAGCTTGCCTGGGTACTGCTGGGTACAACACACATGCAGCCACTGCAATATATTGTACAACACACATGGGGTCACTGCAATGTATTTGTCAATTGAAGTGCACATATTGCAGTATCCAGATGTCACTTCTATCATCAATGACAGCCACTCATGCAAATTCAGAAGAATTTATATCAGATTTCTTCTAGCTCCAAAGAGATTGTGATATTTTGGCATGAATTAATATGAGTGAGACTAGTGAGTCAAATAGCAGATATGACACCTGGATGGGTTGTTCATGTATGTTCCCCCTCTTTCAAATTTTGTGCTAGATTTTGGCAGGTTTGGAATCAATTCAAGCTTCCTGATGGATTCAAAGGGTTTGGTATTAATATATTTGGGAGAAATGATTCATGATCACTGTAATGTGGGGCAGACTGTGCATATATTCAAGTAATCATGTGCCAACCAACACTCATATTCCACCACATGGAACCATGTGATAGCATGATCAAGTTGAATTTTCTTTGAGGTAGAAGAAATCTGATATAAATTGTTCTGTATTTGCATGAGTGATTGTCAGTGATGATAAGAAGTGACATCTGGATAATGCAATGTGTGCACTTCAATTGGCAAATACATTGCAGTGACCATATTATTCTTAATTTACAATTTTGCCTCTGAGGAGGTGAAACATGATCCAATAGATGAACTTTTTCATGTCTCTCAGTTGTTCTCAGACATAGTCCATCATCAGCATCCTTGCCATCATCCACTACCTCATCCAAAACTGCCTCCTCCATGGGATCATCTATCTTTTCGGTATCATCACTGCTCCATTGATGTCAAACTTGGTAAATGTGTTGTAATAAGGTTGTCCAGGTGTCCAGAAAAGCAGAGTTTTTGGCTGGTTGACAGTGCTCCCATAGCCATTCAATGTTTTCCAACCATCCTTCCACTAAGTCATAATGTGAAACCAATCAACGTTGCACTTCATGCATGATCACTTTAACCGAGTCCTTACAAGTGACACCTTTCATCTATATGATCAGTTGCAAAATTTTGAGCTGTGTCTTTCAAGAAATTCCTGAACAACAACCAAAATCAGAATCAATAATGACAAGCCAGGAGATGAAAAAGAGATGAAAACAAATATTCTCTCATGTCAGTCTGGCTGTTTACAAGCGTATCATGATAGCTGATTGCCCATAGCATTGAATGCACTAGCTCTTGAGAAAGAGCTCAAACTCTTCCCGGACCCGACTGAGAACCAGTACACAACGTATGCCTTCAGTACGTTTGGATTGATTGCCCACGGAGCATCAGAATGATAAAATAAACCGTTGTTTCAAAGAGCATTGTCCAACGGCATTGTACTCAGCCTTTTGTAGGTTAGCAGATCAACTTCACCTGTTCCTGTTATGTGCCGATTGGGGAATTTGAGCTTATACTTGGAATATTCCTCATTGTAAGCAGTATTAAGTTGATTATTGCAGGCCACCGGGCATTGATTGCTTTGAAAACTTTTTCTTTTAACTTAGTCCCCAAACGTGAGCCGGTGTTCCAAGCACCTAGCAAAGGCTGTCTCTCGGCCTGCAGATGAGCAGCTCAGGCAAAAAGATCTGATTTTGCCTTCCAGAGCAAAAGCCACATTTTCAACTTGCCCAAGAGCAGTATATAAGTCAGAAAGAAAAAAAGTGCAAAGTGTGAGGGAATATTTACCATTGGCTGCTGGCACATCATCTCCTGATAACTCTTCCATATCCTTTTTGAGCTTCTCAGACTCACTCTCAATCAAGTCCAGCAGCTCCCGGACTTCCACCTCTGAGGCTAGAGATACTCTGGGGTTACGTAACCAATTCCTGAGGGCAAGATGTTGGTTGATAAAAAAACTATGTTGTTCAAGATGTGATGAAATGTACTTACCTCAAAAGATCAATGACATTTTCCTGCTCATAAATGTTTGCCATTTTCTTCATCCGGTGATCTTCAACATCAGTGTGGTCAGCTTGAAATGCTCTTTGAGCTGCCCACTGTCCAACTGTTGCCAGAAAAAGGATCAAGTGTAGTTGCGACCTGAACAACTGCATGGGTTTGTTGTTCCAAGCAGGGTAGTGAGGGTTGCATGCGTGTCACATTGACGTATGACTGCTTTGCTGAACTTGCGACATAGCCAATAAGCTGGAAATTGAATAAACCACGTCTTGATATCTTGCTATGGGAAACTAAAAACTGAAAATATACCTAGTTGCACAATGCCCCTCCTGTTGTGATGAGCCAAGCAATGCGAGACAGATCCCAGGTGGTGGTTGCGAGTAGCGTACCTTAATGGACTGACCAACAAGGACATATGGGACCACATACATTCCAATCCTTCTCCATCCAACAGCCCCCAGCCCTTATTGAAATGAGGGTGATAGTCCAACTGGCACATCCAATTGTGTACATAGGTGTGGAAGACTGACGTGCCAAATTTGATCTGCGGTCGGTCTTTGACAAGTAGATTCCTCTAATGAAAAAATAAGTTAATGATTACAGTTGACCATGAGGAAAGAGACAGCTTACCAAGTTGATATATTTATCCATTGAACAACCAATGTTGTAAAGCATACCCACATTCTCCGTTACTGACATCAGCTGTGAGACTCGGTGCATTGGTCAACCTGAGGAAATCATAAACTTAGTGTGAAACAAATAAATTCAAACAAGAAAGCTTCTGACCTGGTCAGGTGTATTATCCTCCAATTCTTTTTCTCTAATTTGGTCTGTTACTTTGTCAATCTCTGGAATGTTTGAAGGGATTGGTGATTTTGGCTTGCCTTTGAGTGATGTCGGTGCTGGAAATTCCCATCTAGACAAATAATCAAGCGGTCCCGGGTAGTATCTGGGTAGTTTGAAGAATTGAGTGGCTGGGTTCCAAAACAGGCAAGGATCTGCTGGCTGTTGAGGTTGAGAACTGAGTATATAAGGTTGTCCGTCATTTTCTCAAGTCAACAGTACAAATTCACTGCAGCAGAGAAAGGCTTGCATAAATCCCGTGCCTCTTGAAAACAATTGATTGATCAGTGTTGTGGTTGGGGGGAAATAATAATAAAACCTTACATGTTTCTTTCTTTGTGAATTCAGTCTCTGAGAACAAGGCTTCAGAAAGAAAGCAAGAGCCTGAGTGAATGGCAATGCACCTATGTGACAGTGGTTCCACAGGCTGTTGTGGAAGATAAGTAGAGGAATGGAAAATGCTGTTTGAGGGGTCACAGGGGAGCCGGCCAAGTAGCCTAGCCAAAGTAGCCAAACTGCATCCAAAGTACATCGGCAGAATTCAACAAGTTTACGCTCCTGACCTACAACCCCAAACCAATTTCAGCTGATGTCTTCTTAGTAAGACCTTGGAAGATAATGGAGTACATGCCATGTAGGTCAACCCAGTCAACATACTAAGAATGCTTGTAATGGACCCTACAGTTACATGGCTTATTTTGCTGGAAATCATCATAACAGTTGGAAACACCAGTTGTCTGTGATAATCCTCTGAACCATGCAAATGCTATGAAGGGGACCCATCAAAACATTCCAGTTGAATTCCCAAGCGTGTTGATGATGCTGTTTGTTGCTCATTTGGACCATGAGGTCTATGTGATCCAGTTGTTTGTCTTCAGCCAAGGTGACCCAGATGTCCGGCTCCTGATGATTGTCTTCTTCCTCCAATTCAGTTTCTAGTCCAGGCAATTGTCCAGTATCATGGTGATTATCCTCAAAAGTATTGTTGTGATGTGAGAACAATGCTCAAAAGTCTAGCAGAGGCTCATTTGACACGTGTTGATGACTAATTTTAACTCAACACATGGCTTCCTTGTTTTCTGCATCGTTTTTTACCTGTCTTTGTAGCCGGGTGGTTTGATTTGTGATGGGCCTTTTCACTCTGATCTGCACCGTTTGCCCTGCTTGAGGTTGTTAAAGATGTAGAAATCAGTTGAGGTTGGAGAACCATGAAGAGCTGTCAGAAATATCCTTACACTTGTTGTGAGAAGGATATTAGAACAGCTGAATGGGTGCCAATGGGTAGGGACAAGTTGAGGAAGAGTTGTACCTAATGGATCAATGATGTTGTAATAGAGCAATGGATGAGGTTGAGGTGAATTGATGAAGTTGAAATGGTTTGATGATGTCAGGAAGGATCAATGATGTGAAAATGGATTGATTGATGATGTTGTACAGTATTGATTGGTGAAGTTGTATGGTATTGATGATGATGTTGTACAAGCAATGTGCCAGTAAGCTCTTGTTAGGCTGGTGGATTGAAGGGCAATGAACAATAGATAGCGAGATGTGCCAGTAAGCTCATGTGAGGCAGGTGGATTGAAGAGAAATGAATGATGGGTGAAGTTGTACAAGGCCATCAATGGTGATGAGCAATGTGCCAAGTAGCCTGTTAGGCCGGTGGATTGAAGGGCAATAATCAATGAGTGAGGATGTACAAGTGTCAAAGGTGATGAGGAATGTTTGTGCCAGGCCGGCAATGGTGTTGTACAGAGGAACAAGAAGCCGGTAATGCAGGTGAGTTGACGGGTAAGTCGGAGTCAGGCCGGTGTTGTTGAGAGTCAACCAGGCTGGTGTCAGTGAGAGTCAACTGGCTGGGTGACCCCTTGCGAGTTTGGTTTGGGTGGAGGAGTGATGGATGGTATGGGCCAAATGAGGGGTTGCGCAGGGTCTTGGGTAGGCATGGGGTTTAGGCATGCCCACCGGTGCCCTTGTGAAATAAAGTCAATGATCACAACCCACCGGATTAAACCTTTGCTGTGTGCTGCAATCACATAGCTTAAGGACTTGGAAATTCTGGAATTGTCCAATCATTTTTCAAAACACAATACATGTTGTTTTTAGTTTGGCCAATGATTCATCATCATTTTTGGGGATTTCTGGAATTGGATAAAGCTTGAAGCATTCAGGACAACAGATTTCTTCCTCCAATGTAATATCAAACCCAAACTGCTGCATCAACTTGGCTTACGACAGAGGAATGTGACTGATAATTCTTGATGCACTGAACCCAAATTCTTCCACAAGCTGATTCATTTCTTACCTTCAGTCTTCAAAAATTCAGATACCTTCTTGTCTCTGAATCAATCAATCAGAGACATCCTAGCTGCTTGTAGCATTACTGTCAGACTGTGTTGAGGTACAAGCTGGAAAGAATTTCCTTTGGATGATTTGGTGTCTACCACAGCACAACCACTTGTTCCTGGACTGTGTTGAGTCGGATTTTCGACTATAATTTGGTCTTGGGTCTTTTTTAATTCCATCAAGGTGGTTGCAAAACTCAGAGTATCAGGAGAAAATGAAAAATCACTAAACTTGACTCTGATGAACATCTTGTTGAACTGGTTCCACAGCCTTTTCTTTTTCTTTTTTGAAATATCTTTTAAATGCTTCTTGATTGATGAAGCTGACCATGCCTTTCCTCTTTTCTCTTCACCGGTTTGAGTATCTTGATAGGTTTCCTGATTGCACCCAAGCTCAGTACACTCGCATATCTGCCACCTGGGGTGCATGATTTGGTATAATAAGATGTTTGTTGATGATCATGATAACCTTAATCTTCTTCCCCTATGAAACAAGTATCAAATATTTGTTATTAAATAAGATATGCATGCTACAGAAATGTCACCTTTCATGTTGATTTTGTGACATGCATGCAAGTTTGCCTTCAATTTCTGATTTGCTAAGCCCACCAGTCTTATTCAAGTCAAACATGTCCCTGGTGTTACACAAACATGTCACAAATGCAAATTTAATTAAGAAGAACGGTGGTCTTATCAATGTCAAGCTGGCATCATAACTAAGCCCAGCAGTCTTATCAAACTCAACAAGGTGCAACAGTCTTCACTTCAATTCAAATAGTTATACTCTTCACATAGAATCCAATGTTAGACTCAAAAGTGTTTGTGAAAACCCTTTCACTGAATGTTGAAGGGTATGGTGGAGTTGCAAGCTCAGCCCTTCTGTACTATCAGATAACAGGACCCACCAAGCTCAGCTTGGGAAGGAGCCTCCTTAAATACACAAAGGTGAGGGGTTTTGGCTTCAGGGGAACAAGAGAATGAGAGATTTTAGCTGTCCAGAGCTTTACAATGAGGGGATTTAGCTAGTCAGGACATGTACATGGGGTATTTTGGCTGGTTGAGCAACCTACATGATGTCATAAGAGTCACCTTAGCTTGAACTAGAAGTCTACACAAGGGTTTTATGCTGGTGTAGCACACTACATGAGGTGGCTGTACTAGTCTCAAACTAAGATGGAGTGATGAAGATTACATGAGTGGTGTGAGATAGTGTGACAGCTGCAAGGAAGAATAACAAATGACATGACAACCTGCATGATGTCACTTGTAAATCCTGAGTGGTTCTAGACCAACGCTGCATATGTCAATATGTCAGAAGATATCGGAGTGGTGTGTATACTTATGTACTATAATGGTGTGAGAGTGCATGTAGCTGTCCTGCAACATGAATGGGTAGTGGTGTAGTGTGGTTGTGTATGTAGTGTTGAAGGCTGTTTATGTTGAGTGTAAATGTAATTGAGTGGTGTGAGGGTCCAAAGGTGTGTAACTTCCAATCCAGTTAAGTTCCAGTGACGCCTCCAGTGGTGACCAAGGGTTAAATTGAGTGTAGAATCCAGTTCTTGGAGCCATAATAGGATTTTGAAATGGACCAGATGGGTACCCATAAAGTATACCACGCCAAATTTGTTGATTGCACTTAAAAATTTATCATGGGCAATTCTTTTTTTCTTCTTCCATCTGTTAAGCTTGCTGGTATTATCAATATCTACCTGTCATCACTTTTCCACATGTACAAATTTCTCAACTTATTCACACCAAATTCTCTGCGCTTGTGTATTTCACAGAAACCTCTCCGCCCCAGCATCAATATTTTTGTCAGACATACTGAATTATTTTTGTGTTTCCATCCCAGTGTCTTAAGATAAATCAAATTGTCATCTTAGCTCCACCAAACCTAAAATCAATTCCCAACATGGTCAGATGCCTGAAGAATGGAAAAGCTCCTACCAATGACCAAAATCTCAACAAGGCTCTCTTTGCCATAATTCCTCCTCTGACATCTCATTTTTGCAGATCAATTGCCTCCTTCTGCCAAAATTTATTAGATGTTGAGACACTAGACCAACAGGCCTGGCAAATTCCACCCACACTGGAACAGATTCAATATGTCAAAGACTTGCCTCTCAGCATCACTAGTCACCCTATCTAATCACAAACAAAGCTTTCACCCATCAAACCCAATGTTAATGGAATATCATCCCACTGTCCTAATCTGTTTCTTTGTGACATAAAAGCAACCAACTTTCCCCAGGCAATATTTTCCTGGCACAAACCTTGGGAGTCTCACTGGAATCAACTCTTTTCTGCATTAATAACAAAGCACTGGAATCATGGTCACAAGCACAATGCTTTTGCAAATTTATCATACGATACCCCTTCAAACTTTAGGGCTGTATTGAAAAAGTGGTTCATGGGGAAAAGCTTTGACATAATCACTGACTTGTTCTAAAAAACCAATAGCTCTCCCTAAACTGCACGGAAATTCTTGGCCAATTGAACCTCCCACCAGAACAAGAAGACCTTTTTGCCAAACCA